CGGGCATTATCCTCGATCTCCTTGGATGAGAACTTACGATCGCGGTGAGGACCCCATCAGAGACCCTGATCCTTTAGTCGCTTTAATTCGATGGCGTCACAGTGGCGAATGGACGCATTCCCGCTTCCTATGGAAACCGGTGCTCATGCTTCAACCGTGAACATGATCCTGGAGATCTTTCCCCTTTTCCTCGTCTCACCGTAGGATATAGAGCGCCTCGAATCGCTGTCTATGGCGTTTTTCTTTCTTTATTTAATACGAAAACCACATTTCGTTCGTTATTCTCCATTTACGATCGCAATTGGATCAATTAAGGATATATTGAATTTCTTCTGTGTCTTCCTTTAAATCATCATGTAAATCACTTATTGCAAATCAATTTCTCGAGAGATAGACAAAACATATCCGCCACCTGAGTCTCGCATTGGCTTTTGGCAGGATATTCGGACGTTCTTCGTCAGAATGCTTCTTCATATCGTAAGAAATCTAATTTGATTTCCAATCTTCTACTCGAGTCAAAGTTTTGATCCTACTTTCAATCTCACTATTCCATTCAACACCTATTTGATGCTAAGGAAAGAGTAAAAGGAAATTTCAGATATAATTAGAGTCAAATTAGGAGTCAATTAAATTAAATTATTATCATTAGAATTAAATTTACTATTACTTATAGTTCCTATTGCGTTGTAGAATTTAATAATAATAGATTTAATAATAAGGCCAAAATTTTTACTCGAGTAGAAACACATTTTTTAATATTTTAATTTTCTTAAAACGAACCTTACTACACACATACACCGCTTAGACTCCAAGTTGCCGGTCTGAAATGAAAAAAGCGCGAAACCCTTGGAGCAGGAGCCGTAACTACGACAACTGACCGGCAAAGTGACGTCTAAGGGTATGACCGTTGGCGACTCACCGAAATCACCGTCGACGCATTCATCCCCTTCGTTCTTTCGATCGTCCTTAACGCGATGGCTTCATGGTGGCTGCGACGCGTGGTCACCTCGACTTGCACCGTGAATCCGTCGTTCTTCGCCGAAATTTAAGGCGTCACGGTGCATCGCGCCGCAAGACCCCCTTTTGCGAGGTCGCGGCGAGAAGCGCGAGCCCGAAAGGCGAGAATCGCGACAATAAGTCAGTCTGGAATCCCTATCGACTCGTAACGTTCCCTGGCACGGCCGTCGTGTTTTATCACGGAGGTCGTTATACTATAGTTTCTGCTTCCCTTAATTCTTCCTCCATCACATAAAGATAAATAACTGAGAATCCGCCTAACAAAAGTAAATAACCGAGTTTTCTTTTGAATTCGTAAATTCGATTTCCTATCGATTCTCTTTCGATTCGTAACGTTCCCCAACACGGCCATCGTGTTTTTTTATTACAATAGAGAGGTCGTTGAATCGTTGTACTATAGTTTCTCCTTCTCTTAATTTTTCCTCCACCACATAAAGATAAATAACTGAGAATCCGCCTAACAAAAGTAAATAACCGAGTTTTCTTTTGAATTCGTAAATTCGATTTCCTATCGATTCCCTTTCGACTCGTAACATTCCCCGGCACGGCTGTTGTGCTTTATCAGAATAGAGAGGTCGTTGAATCGTTGCACTATAGCTTCTCCTTCTCTTAATTTTTCCTCCACCACGTAAACATAAATAACTGAGAATGTGCCTAACAAAGATAAACAACCGAACTCTCTTTCGAATTCTCGAATTCGATTCTGAGAACATTCTCCTCGCCGTCTTTAATGTTACCACGACGATATACAACCCGTTCGCTTTGATCTCACTTACCGTTGCCGTGCGGAAGATACGAAGGTCTGACCTGGCACAAACTAAAACGCAATATGCACTCGATGCGATCGCGCACCGACGTGAAACAGCGATTTTACGCGTCCATGGCGCGCAGTGGCGCAAGGTGGTGGCCGAACACGTCCGACGGAGGTGAGGAGACATAACTAGGTCCGAAAATATGGAAATGTTATGGAAAAGAAGTCGGACGACGTTTCCACGTGCTCGGACCTCGGCACATGTGGAAACGATTCCTGGGGCCGATCGTCTTCGTCACGGTGGTCGAAAACCGCGCAGATGCGTGGCTCTAACGCGACCCCTCCTCGCGTTACAGAACGTTGGACACTCATCAAGCCCCCACGGCGTGCTGCCTGAGTCTCGGGCTCATGGAACACTTCTCATGGGCGTCTCCGTCGTGTCCACTTCGCCTGCCTCTCGAAATCGCGCTGGATAGTTTAAGACATCGATCTTCACGCAGAGATAATTGCTCCCTTTAATTTCAAAAGTCAGATGTATGAGATATGTAAGATATATGTAAACAAGCTGTCTGATGAAATTTAATTAAAGTGAGATAAATATGGGTCTTTAAGAGCCATTCGCGGTTGTTTGCCGCGACATTAAATTTTATGGACAATAATAACGGTTGACGTTACATTTTATGGACAATAATAACGATTGACAGTGCTAAACGCACGTGACCAATTATCTCCGGCACGCAACGAATTAACCTTCCCCGTTAAATCGACTAATTATTACTAATATTAGTGATAGCCATTCCCCATCTCAATTAATTGTGTTTTTTATTCTTTTTTTTCTTTTTATGATTTGGCAATCAAATTTTGGATTAAAACACTCATTCATGGTGACTTCACCCGCGACGTCTCGCGAAAACGAGGAATTCCAAGTCGCCAACTGAATTTCCATCGATCCTCCTCAGCAATCTGTCTCTTTTTTCCTTTGGGCTGCCAACAACATCCGTATCCACACGACCCTGCGACAGATTTACGAGCATGTTGCCATGTCCTTGTTTATATCCTCGCGTATCCTGACTCAGCGCCGAGAGTCGACGAGCTGGTAAGAATTTCTGGCCAGGGGATTCCCGGTTCGTGCGCGATCGCGTAGCTCTCGCGAGAAAATGGGCAACAAGAGCGAGCGACAACGACGACGACGACAGTAGCTTTGCAGAACAAAAGTGTTGGATGGGACGTGGGGACACGGAGTCGACGCGGGTGTCATCGCGCGGGAACGACGGCTGAAACACGGCGAAGGGAACGCGTTCAGGCCCGCCTAATAATTCTCCGTGGGCGACGCGCGACGTGTACTTGTCACAGCGTCGCGACGCGCGCGTCCGTCTCGTCGCGGCTGCAACAGCGAGGATGGTCGCGCTCGCCGCTCGCTCGCGGCTTATCTCTTCTTCGGGACGGCGAAAAGAAACGCTCTGTCTAAGGGGTCGGTAATCTTGAGAATTTCATGTACATTGAATTCCGGTGATTTCAATCGGGATATAGCGGGATTCGTCATGAACGAATTATGAGCGAACGCTCTCGGTCAAAGCGCCTTGTCTTCTCCTCTGCAACCCACGTGACGCGATTTCTTAGACAATCGTGGCCATTTGCAGAGGAAGTTATATCGCTGAATTCCTTCATCGCTTAAACACTTGAGAGACATGATAGTAACACGTTATTTGAACTACCGTCTATTTCTTCGTTATATTTTGAAAATGTCACAAAAGAGAGCAAAGCAATGAAGTTTCTTAAGGTCATGAGACCGTTTTGCATAGCTAATCATGTACGATATTGGCTACGTGAGATCTAAACAAATATTTGATTACTCAATTTTCATTAAAGATTCGAGAAATTTTCAAGATAGCGCAAATCCGTTTGCAGATTCTTATTTTATTGCGCTATTATCTTATAACTGAGATTTTTCCATTTTCAATAAGAGTTGCGGTAATTCGAAATTGTCTGGGTCTAACAGGCCCAGATTGTACCGTATATCCCAAAAGATATGATTACACGCGGAGAGTCAAAGATGAACCAAGAAACATCGATCTTAATTGATTCGTTTATTACTTTGATCCGTTTATTACTTAGAAATGTATCCTTTGTTCTAAATTTAATCCCGTACATACAACACAGATTTGAATATCATAGTATATGCATATTTTATTATGAAAGTATCATAGCTTAAATGTAATCACGTATCACAATATCGTAGATTCAGCTCCGCGGGGATTTCCGTCCGTTATCTACGGCAGCATTTGAGAATGTTAACGCTAAACTACCTTAAAGCTCTTCTGTCGGGGCACCTGTTCTCAGGAGATGGCGCATAAAATTCTGCTCACACGACATTCTGTACATAAAACGCTATCTTTGCGCCGTAACGAGGTTATTCGTGTCTCCTATGAAAAATAGGCGAACGCGATGGGAACGATACGGCCCCTCCGGCGTAGGATTACAGACCCAGCACGCCTCTCGCCATTCGGAAACCTGCTGACGAAATTGTCCTCTGAGCGATGGTGGCGTTAAGTGTTCATTAATTGAACCGAATCGCGCCCTGTGTAGAGCACGATCAGCTGTCGGCACTCTGTCCTCCAGCTTTTAACGCACTTTCGGTCGTTTCGCGCCGTAAAATTACCTCCTCTCTTCTTCTTACTTCTTCTATATCTCGCCGAACGAAACCCGCTCTCGTGAACGAGAGGGTGCGGTAAGAGTCTTTCACGAGCGAGCTCGCGAGCGTACGATTCACTTGCGTCGACGGGATCGCGTTTGCTCGTTCTAATTTTCCAAGTTTAATTGCAACAGTCAATCTCGCGTTATTTTTAACTACATGAGAATATTATAGTCTTTTTCTTCATATAAATCCTTTTAAATTTTGTTGAACTTGTGTTGTATTCACTGTTTTTAGCGGTGTAGGAATAGATTGTCAGTAAAGTCTTGTTGAAATTGAATTATACAATTCAACTAAAGACTCTTACCAAGGAACAGTAAATTTCATTAGAAAAACAGAAAATTTTTTAATAATTTTATAATAATTTTAATTTATAAAATAGAAATAGTACACATAGAAAATAAAAGAATAAATTGCTGCAGAATACCGATTTATTCCTCAGCTGCAAAATTTTATAATAACTTTTATTATATAACTCTCTGCGTGTGTGTATATGGCGAACCACATCATTGAAGTTTATTTTCCAATTTTTGCATCGAATGAAGCCACTCACGCGTTCGTCTTCTTTTAGTGTGTAATGAAAAGGATATAAAAAATAAGAGAGTTCGATTGAAGAATTTTGTTTGCTCGCGTAATATGACATAAAATTACTTTGATTCGTTGTTACATAAAATTGCTTCGTCTCCTATTAATACTCGGACCCATTAATCTCTCGAAGAACGGGACTTGAGTGCGACATCCTACTAAAAGATCCTAAAAATATTTTTATTGCGCTATAAAATTTCACTCACTGGTGTGATCTCGTCTCACCCCGTAACGTTATACTTTCGAAAAAAATATCGTGATTCGCGCATCGACCAAGTGCGCTTGGAAGAGAGGAAGTGTAATTAATCACGTTAATTTGCTGACTCAGCAAATTCTCGATTTCAGAAAGTGAAGATCGAAAAGACAATTCTTTAGAAAGGAAAACCCTGAAATCCTAAACCTTCTTCTTTCAAAGTGTGTTATGGAAGAGAAAAATTAAGAAAACCGTGATATTGATACGAACAACGCACAATAATAAACGACGCTTCATAAAGCATTCATTTCAAAACTTATAATAATTGTTACGTTTTTTTAAAACTTGAAATATCTTACATGAGATATTCAGATTCAGAATTCAACATGAATTTTTCACTTATATCACGGTTACAAATGTATAATTAATAATACATATAATTTATAATTATAAATAAAACTCACATATATATCGTATGAATGAATTGAAGAGCTCTAACTTAATTCAAAGCGTGTATTAATAATTATTACTTGAAACTTATCGCAAGTCAGATACTCAGATTTAAATTTGTAGTGAGATGAGAATTTTTCAGTTAAATCGAGATTATAGATTTAAATGTCATAATTCTGTTGAAAAACTCGAATCCTACTCTAAATAAATATATAAAAGCCATATTAATAATTGTTACTTGAAACTGGTCTCGAGTGTGAGATATTCAGATTTGAATTTAGAATTTAAGAATTGCATGTGTGCGTGAATTTTTAGTTGAATCTCGGTTACAAATATTTCACTCTGTCACGTATATCACATGATTCAACTAAAGAACTCAGATTTAACTGTAAATTCCGATCTAAATATTTAACGTTGAAACAAGTTTCAACGAGTACAGATAAGAGATTAAAGTTCGCAGCAAGGTCTGTCGTTAATCGGGAAGCATGATGATCGTCCGCTCGGTGCTCGCTCTTTCTGCACCATCCGGAATCAACCGATACTGTGTATCGGACATTGTCGGGGTTACTCGACACCCTTGTGTAACGAGATGCCAGCCGCCACGTACAGTGCAAGGAGAGAGATGTGAAGAGGAGGATGATGAAGGGAGGACCTGTGTTCTGGTTTATAAGAATTGCCGCTGGAACATGTCCTTGAAAGTGGAAACCGCCGGGGCGCCGGCGCTCGGTCGTCGACTGTCGTACATCACCGCTAACGCGTGATTTTTCTCGTTAACACGTTAACAGTGTGACACATGAGGTGTCGCACGATCAACGATTTATGTGTATCGCTCCGTCCCGTCGAACTTCCGCGAGATTTGACACTTTCGTGTTGGTTATTGAGGTCCTCTCTTTTCGTCCCATCGACGAACCCTGGCAAATGATTCGACAGTCAATTTCACTTTATTTTCAAAAAAATATGGTTGCGTATTTTTTTAAAATAATTTTTTCATTCTTTGTTCGGACAGAGTCTGAAATTGGTCCTATACGTTGTTGTTCAATTTAAAAGTCTATGGCCCGTGTGTTGATAGTTGTCACTTAAAACTTCTCTCATATGAGACACTCAGACTTTTATTCAGATCCAGTTGAGTTATGATATAAGATATAAATGTCTAGAGTTTCCAGTTGAGTTATGATATAAGATATAAATGTCTAGACACTAATAACACGGACATAACCTTGGACTTAACCCTGAGCATTTTTATTGTTTTAGTCTTTTTAAATATAAATATTTAAACTTTCAATATAGATTACATAGATATATATTCTATATAATAAAAAAAGAGTTTAAATATTCCTACTCAAAAGTCAAAATAATAAGAGAACCTAGAGATAGGTATCAGAATTAGTGTGTGTTATTAGTATTCAGACATTGGTACTTTTACCTTACGTGATACTTTTATCCATAACCGCAATTCTATTGGAAAACTCTCATCAAATTCTGAATTTAGAAAATGTAAATAGTTCATCTGAGATGAGTTTCACAAGTATAATAATAACTATTATAACTATTATTAATACTACGGGTCTCCTTCATCTTCCATCTCTCGTCGATTTACTTACGCACATGCATCTGCGTCTCTCATCGGCCAAATCTCTTCTTGACCAAGTATCCAGAGTCTTTCGGATTTTATTAAAAAAAAAACAGAAAATATCGTAAATATGAGAAAATTATTGCGCACAGGGTTATATCGCTGGATCGACTTGCCGATAAAAATAAATCGATTGCCTCACCGTACGCGCGCTCGGTGCGTCGCGGCGTTTCTCGGTAAAAAAGCGCGTGCACTTACGTCCCTTCGCTTCCGAGCTCTCTCGATCTGCGTAGCCGTTTAGAAACCAATGAGCTTCTAATGAAGGTGGAGCTTGCTGCGGAAATCTCCACCTACTCTTAAAACGCTCTATTTCCCTCCGCTCGTCGGCGAAGAGCGACGACACAGACCGAGAGAAGATTGAAGAGAACGAGGGAACACACACGAGAGAGAGAAAGAAAGAGAGAGGGACAGAGAGAGAGAGAGAGAGAGAAAGAGAGAGAGAGGCCGATGAGGACCTTTAAGTATGTCTTAACTCGGCCAAGTCAGTTGGCATCCCGCCGCCCCGAGCAAAATGACGCTTTCATTTTCGAGCGTCTCGTTTCCCGCAGCGATCTCGCGACCGAGCATCACGATCGACGCGTCGTAACGATGTCGTCGTCGTTGTCGTTGTATCTCTAAGCGGCCTGGAAGAAATTGTGAACTTCAGGATTACGTCGTGCATGTGCGCTCATAACGCGAACCTCAACGGTGTGTATGTACGCGCACGTATTCTTCCTCTGTCTCTCTCTCTCTCTCTTTCTGTCTTTCTATCTCTCTCCCTCTCTCTCGCTCTTTCACGAGTTGGGCCAGGAACGTCAGGTCTGGAAACGCAGGAAGAACTCTTGCCAAACTGTTCGCTCGGTGAGATAAAAATTCGTCCGAGAGGAAGTCACGCGAGAGTACGAGCGGAAATTTAGCCGATTCGAGGTCTCAGGTACGTCGGAAGATCTAATGGCCAAAGTTGCAAGCAGACGAGATATTAATGAAACCGAACAGAGACCATCGACTGATGGGAATCCGTTTACGGTGTAATTATGCGTAATAAGTGACCGAGCAAACCCCGATTTGCGAAAGCTCGTTCTCAGAACGGGGTGAGAATCGGCCAAAGTGAGATCGCGACATTTGACGCGTCAGAGACGCTTTGTGTCCTCCTGACGATCATTGATTTCATCGTGCAATCGCACCAATATCGGTCGCAATTAAGTAGCAATTTTTTATAATTGCACGCACTGAGAAAAAATACTTGAAAATTTATTTATGGAATACAAGGCTGATTTCGATTAACTAAAGCTTACTTTTGTGAGATAAAGTTGGTTTCTGTGAAATAAAGTTGATTTCTGTGAAATAGAGTTTATTTCTGTGAAATAAACATTTGTCCCACAAATAATTGTGCAAAGACTTTTTCAACAGTGGATCAATTACATCGAACGGCTCTTTCTTTCTGAACAAATAGAATATGGAATAATGGGCCAAAGATTACACGTCGGCGAGGGGAACAAACGTGAAAAATGGCCTACTTACGATAATATTTTCGCGAGTGACGACCGCAAAAAGCTGAGGTGTCGATTCGTGGCCGTCGTCGCGCGATAAAACGTCAATTGACGGGTGGTGCGCCACGGTTTGCGGGTTAATAAGCTTAATCGGCACTCGATGAGAATCGCCTCAGCTAGACTATTATTGGTAGCCTAACGTAAAATTCAAACACGCGCCATGGGATCCCTTCGCGAATCTATCGTTGCTCCAGAAAGATTTAATTCGCAATGAGCATTTTGCCGGCACGCGTCACCGCGAGCTCAAACGCTCGAGACGAAACTGAGTATCGGCCGTCGCACTTTCTCTCCGAAATTCTAGACTAACAATTCGAACGACCCAAATGAAAGATTCGGCCAAGATCGACTGCGCGAACAATTAGCGGCTTCGGGAAGTATTTGCGCACATAATTGGCCGGCGACGAATTCTCTTCTCCAACTGAAGCGCGGCACACCGCGACGAGATCCGCGACAAATCGCGATCGATCGGCGCGCACGCACGGACCTTCGCCAAGCATCGCGCGTGCGATCGGCTGATCTGACAGCGCCCGCCATTAAATCGAAATCGACACGCGCCGGGGCGGCCTTTTCGGCGCGGCGACACGGCCGAGATACGGACAAGTTTCGAACGGCGGGCTGCCGCGCACTTTGAAACCGCTGGCACGTGGCCCTAATTGCGCCGTCACGCTCGAGCTCGGAAACGCTTCAATTAACATTTCCCGAGACAAATTACGCATAAACGTGCCGCGCTTCTACGTATCTCGCGCGTCGCCAGAAATAATTGTCCTTTAACAACCTGGAGTGTTTGTTAAATCGATAGGAGCATTTTCTCTTTTCCCTCCTCCGCGCTTTCGCGGGTCGGTGGAGACTTTCTTCCCCGAATAACGAAGAATGCGCTACTTTCTTTTCTTTTTCCGAAATGCGAGGGGATTTGCGAGGAACAGCACGCGCGAGCACGCGTTCCGCGAGCGCTCGAGTCGTCTCCGAGTTTTCTCCCGCGCACGGTGTTTATATTATAAATATAATATTTCGCTGGAGTACACGTCGAAAATAGAGTGATACAAGCGTGTTCGTCGCGACGCGGCGGCGGTACGTCTCTTTCTCTCGGGACTCTCATCTCGCGACGGCGACGCATCTTCGCTTATTTCGCGTCATCCACCGGCGTAGAGTCCGCGAATTGGCTCGTGCGAAGTGCCTTCTCATATTTTGAGTTTCTACAATCCCGAGCCCCGCTAATATTAAGTTTCTGGCTGATATTCCGAGGTCCCAGCACTGAATAATCACGTCGCGTGAAATTAAACCGCGACTCCGGTTACGCGCGCGCGCACTCGTTTCTCTCGAACTGGTGCGTTCACGATGTGACGAACCATTTTGTTGCTTTTTTCACGTTGGCAATTTTTCTTCTTATTTACCGCAATATACCGAGTCCCGCGACATATTATCTCGACGACATGTGAGAATGTAACGCGACGGAGAGGCTGGGAATTTCGCGCGCGCGCGCGCGCCAGAGATAGAAAGAGAGAGAGAGAGAGAGAGAGAGAGAGAGAGAGAGAGAGAGAGAGAGAGAGAGAGAGAGAAAGAGAAGAAACTCAAACGTGAAGAGAGAACAATTCGCGCGCATACGTGACGCTGCTCCAACCTTAAATCACCTTCCCTCGCAGGTGAGATTTAAACGGAGCGCACGATCCGAGACGGGATGCCCGCGTTGCGAAAGCGGCCGGCGATATAAATACGCGGAGGGACGCGTTAAAAAATTAAAGAGCCCGCCTTCGTGACGAGGGCGGAGGACTTGGCAATGAAATCTTGGTATTGATTGTCATGCCAGCGTGAGAGGAAGAGGAAAAAGGCGCGCCGAGAGCGAGGAAAAATGTTAGGTGTGGACGCGGAGCAGCAGGGCGCGAACAACGGCGTGATAGTGTCGCAGCTCGCGAATTCGCACGCGCCGCAGGACTTCACGGTCTCGCGCCTGCTGTCCACGCCGACGCACTCCTTGGGTAAGAGAACAAGTCGTAAACATTATAAAACGGTGTGAAACAATTGGAGGTGTATATTATGAAGATACACTGAGAAAAAAATTATATTATCCACGATTAAAATTATAAAATCCACGAATATTTCTTTGATAGTTGCCATCAACATATTTATTTAAATCTACATTCTTTTTATTTGAACCAAATATTGTTTATTTAAATCAGGTAAACAGTATTTCATTTAAATACAGAAAATGTAGATTTAAGTAAATATGTTAATGGCACCCGTCAAAGGAATATTTGTTGATTTTAATATGATTTTTCTCTCAGTGTAGAGTAGAAATATTATAGAAAGATAACACAATTGAAGCCAAACTTTACCAAACTTTGATGATCATGCGCGATCTAGTCTCTATGACTTATTATAAGCACGAATAAACAAGTACTGGTCACAATATAATTTGTTTTCTCGTATTTTCAAATAATATAGACTCGTATTAATAGACGGTGCTTGAGACTTATCCCACGTGAGGCACTCAGATCTGAATTAGATAGAATGAGATTTAGATTTGAGTTTCTTATCTGTATTACATAAAATATATGTGACATATTTGTAATTGCGATTCAGCTGAGAAACTCGCATCTAACTGTAAATTGAAGTCTGAGACAAGTTTCAAGTCTGAGACAAGTTTCAGAATTAATACAGATCTACATCACGCATGATCAACGGGTTTGCTTCTTACTTGCCCTTTAACTTATACCATTAGAATCTTTTTCAGAGCCTTGTCGTTTATATTGGTCATAAAAACATATCTGTTAGATGCACCAGCTAAGAATTATATTCTTGCTTTTCTTTTTTCCCTCCGATGGGATCAAACTGAATAATTAATGTACATTTCACGATTAATTGATTAATCCTAAGATTTGCAACACGCGAGTGGAATATATTATACAGTATGCTCTAAACAATTCGATGTATATTTATATATAAACCGAAAGGAAGAATATTTAAGTAATAAAAATATACATTTTCTTAAAACTTAAAGTTTTTATGAAAGCAATTGTTCATTCTATTTAAATAAAAGAATTTGGTTTAAAATAAAAGTGTTATTAGTACTCACTGAATAAACATTTTTTATTTTTTAGATATTTTTTCTCTCAGTGTATATATGTATGTGGAAATTTTTTAAGAAACTTCTTTCTCCTTCTCTTTTGATTGTGTTATTAAAAAAGATTAGATCCAAAAATCGTTCCAAAAGTGTTCTTTTATATTTTACGATGTTACCTGATTTTTATTTGATATTTCGTTTATATTGAAAATATGTGCACTTGACGAAAGTTTTAATGAAGTATCTGTGGCTTTGTGATTAATCCCAAAGTTTTTCCCACATTTGCATCCTGCAAATGTTACTCCCAGAATCGATATCCGCGACGAGTGATCTCATCGTCCCCCCGGCGTTTAATCCGCGGCTCACGACGCACTTGATTTCATCGAAATCGCGCATTTCCAGTCATGCTGCTCGCATTATGCCGCTTTGATGAACGCTCAAGTATAGTGGAGTCATTCAAAGAATGACCGCGCTTGTAGCCGAGACCCGCGTGCTCCTTTTTTCTCCCTTTTTCCTCTTTTTTCGGCACAGACCGTCGTATCGCGAGCGGCATCTTCGACGCTCGTTTCGGTACGGCGGATCGTCGAGAAATAATTTCGCATTCTTCTCGTGGTAGCGTTTTTGCGCGCGCAAGATGTAACTCCGGAGTGTGATCGACATGCCTCCATTCCGTAAAGTGAGGGGGCTTCTCTCACCAGTTAGGGGAATTGGCTTTACAGTTTCCCGTGAAATATACAAATATATAATGTAGAAAAAGACTCGTCAAATTGTCTTGAAAGATATAAACAAATTGTACAATTATCTAATGCACATAATAATACAAATACATGACGCGAGAGTAAACAATATTTGTTCCTTCATATTTTTGGTCATATTTTTGGTTTATTCATACTTTTAATATTTTTCTTCTAAAAATATTTATAGAATAATATTACATTAAGAAAAATTTATATTTTATAATAATCTCAATCAACAGGAAAATCAATAATAACTGTCATCGCAGATGACTGCTTCGTGGGAGCATTTATTTATGGTATTTATTTATAATGTTTGCACAGATTGTAGCGAGACCACCTCTGCTGCTGGCAACAGACGACCCAGGAGAAGCAGAACGACCTTCTCGGCGCAACAGTTGGCCGCGTTGGAGAGAGTGTTCGAGAAGACGCATTATCCTGACGCCTTCGTTCGCGAGGAGCTTGCGACTAGAGTGTCCTTAACGGAAGCCAGAGTACAGGTACAATTCAAGATAAAACATGAAATATCTAATATTTCAACGTTCTAATATTTTAAACCCCTAATTGCGCAAGATTAATCACATAAAAATCATTATTTGAACTTTCGGATAGTATAGATTCGTTTTTAATAACCATTGTCTGTGAACGCCAGACAGGAAAAGAAACTTTAAACGTCTTTCAGACCTTTGCATTATTTGAAGGGGCATTCATTATTTGAGAAATCAAATTCAAAGAGAGAATATAAAAAGTACGGGAGTGAAAAAGATCATTCGAATTTGCTTGTTCCTCGTGATTGTCATCCTCGCCGACGCGGTATCCCGCGCGAGGGATGGCAGAATGTGGCGGAACGATAAACCGCCTCGAGAGACATATGCACGCGCATGCACACATCACGAGTAAGCAACCGAGCAAGCAACCAACTAACCAGCCAACCGATCAACCAGCCGAGCCACCGAGCCAGCGGACTGCTCTTTGAAGCCGTCTTCCACTCGGCAGGCGAGAAGACCGGCCGTCCGAGAAAGTATCACGATGCGCACATGTGTCACGAACGCGGCATCAGTAATATGAGAGAAAGAAGGACGAAGAGGCAAAGGCAGAAGAAGAAGTAGGAGGAGGAGAGGCAGGCGGAAGGTGGAGGTCGCGGACAGCTAGGCAGAAAATCGGAGGAGACAGGTTGTCAGGGCGAAGAGCTATGATTAGCCGGCCAACGCGCGCGTCTCCTCTTCGCATCTGCGGCTGCGGCCGGCCGCCGCTGTCGCCGTCGCCGTCGCCGCCAACGTGCGTGCATTGAGAGGAGCACGTGTGCGTGTCGCGTTACGTTGCGTTGCGTTGCGTTGCGTTGCGTCGCGTCGCGTCGTCGTCGTCGCTCGGTCCGTGCCGTGCACGTCTGTCTCTCCTTCTGTCTGTCTGTCTGCTTCGGCGTCGGCTGCCAGGAGCCGTCACGCTGGTCTCGTCTTCGGCCGTGTGCGCCTTCCGCCGAGTCCTTCCGCCTTGCTCTTTATGCCCCTCACGCAGCATCTTCGCCTCTCCAACCTCTCCGAAACCGCGACTCATTTGGTGCTCTGCAACTTTGCAAAATTGGGAAATCTGCACATTTAACCCTTTGAACCCTAATTTCCTAGAATGTTACTGTATTTTGCCTGGGTTTCCAGGTAAAAAAATGATACTGTTAAATTCGTTTCTCAAATTACTTCATAAATCATTAGAACCAACATCAGTAAATGCAATTTTTGCACTAAAAATACTTCCAATTCTGCGAATTATACATATTTCAAAAATCTGCAGTGAGAAGATATCCCGTCTATAGTAGGATGACGAATTCAAAGGGTTAATGAAGATTTTTATTGTATATGAATTACACCAAAGTTTGTGCGTCCACTGACTATTTACCCAAAGAAAAAAATGCCACGCTGTAGATTTTTAAGATAAAAGGAAGAGGAACGTTGATTTTGAGACAGGGTCAGCGGCGGATTAGCGTCAGGTCCGAAGATTTTTAGTCGGAATAACGCGTTTCTGCTCGCGGAGCATGTCGTTTGAGTCGGATTTATTTGTCTTGCTTTAAGGCCAGCTCCACTAGAGTGACGTGAGACGAAGAACATTGACATCATCAGGATACATCGGATATTCAAAGATTCTTCATTGAAGAGAGATGTTTCTATAAGAAGGCGCGCGCGATTCATTTTTCTCGAGAAAGCCGGCGGCAGAAAGCTGTGTGCTCTCTTTATCGGGCAGATTTAATTATACGGAACCGAGGAGGCATCCTCTTTGAGTCGGATTTATTTACCTTGTTCCGGTCTTCGACTCGTAGCTCGTATTAATCGAAGAAATCGGCACGTTCCTTTGAAAGAACTCAACTTGCACACGATCGCGGCAAAGTAATGATGTAATAAAATGTATACGTATTGCAACTAAAGGACTCCAACCTAGTAGACTCAGTAAATAAGCACGGGACGAAATTGTTCATGTTGATGCGATTATTTTCCAACTTAAACTATCTGAAGCCAACCCGAATTGAGTTCAATACTTTGACAATCGCATCAGTCACAGAGAAAGGTTCACCTGCCACCAATAGATTTCGAGAAATCTATTTAGAACTATTTAGAAAAAATTATACGAATACAATATTATAGCTTTTCTCATTTTAGATTTTACCATGTTTCTAATCTTTTAGATTTTACCATGTTTCTAATAGTGCAGGAATAGACTCACTAAAATTCACCTAAAGAACATAGTAAATCTATCACATTCCAATTTTTAAAATATAAATATAATAAAGCAAAAATGTGTGTGTAAAAGAGAGACGAGCATACTTTTTATACATAATCCTAAAATCTATCTATAAAGACAGGAAGTATATAAATACTCCTTATATTATAATTGCAATTACCATAATTATATGCTATTTATTACCGAAAAATTAGAATCAACTAGTCATTATCGGCAAACGTTTTTTTTATAAGGCAAACCAGCTGGTCACGCGCACGTGACAGCGGCCGTCAAAGTGTCAAGAGCGAAATAAATCCACTTTTCTCCGGATAACGAGCAACGCAACTGACCACATGATTTGTGCTCATAGGTGTGGTTCCAGAACAGACGAGCAAAGTTCCGGCGAAACGAGAGGAGTTCGGCCCTGAGTCGCGGCGTCTCCACCGGCAGGGAGATGGAGACCGCGTTGCCGTTGCGTCCCATCAGGCTGTCGCACTCGCAGCACGCGGAGAGCAACGCGGCGGAGCAGCCGTCTCAGCCTCCTCCGCAGCCGCAGTCGCAGCCACCGCCGCCGACGAACGCGGCAACGACGGCCGGCTTAACGACGCAATACCCTTACGGCGATTATTGGAGGGCGGCGGCGGCGGCGACGACGACGCAGCACTATGCGGTACAAAGCGCGACCAGCGGCTGTCACGGCTTTGCCAACGGCGGCTTGGCAAACGTGAGCCTGCCGCCGCCGTACCATCACCATCACCATCATCATCATCAGGCCGATCATATCCATGGTTCGCCGCTCGACGGGCCCGCCGTGAACAGCCTGAGCGCCCTGAGACTGCGGACGCATCCTTACGGCGCGACCTACCCACCGATGCACGCGAGCATGTGATGTATCGTTATCCTTGACAGAGTCCTCGAGAGAATCCTTGGGAGTCCTCTCGAGAGGAGAACACGGCGCGACCAAGAATACCTGGACCATCGAGGAAATCCGACGGAAGTTGCGTTGTTTTGAACTGCTGCAGCCCTCAGAGGCTTTATTGGGAGACTCGCACGCCGTCCTACAGAGGTATTTATGGATGTTTTATCCTCGATTTTGAGACCAAAGATAAGTTTGTGCGGTTGTAAATTCGCGCGTGTATCATCGATAGTCCAATAAACGATCCCGTCGAGGATCCAAGTCGATCGCGATGTGCCATACAGCGCGCATCGAAACGTGCATTGAGGTGTGCGAGGCGATAATTCGAACGACTGACTATCGCTGTCGATGTGAACGTAAAACACAAACGCCCAAACGTTGATCGTATGTGCCTTGATGGATGATCATTATTATTAAGTGTAAGTTCTGAACGCACACAGGGTAACGAGTAAGTAATTCGTAGCGCTTCCCTTCTCGCCGATCCGCCGGCATAAAATGACGACGTCTTGAATCACGAGAGAGAAAGTGTATCGGAAGAACATCGTATTAATTAAGTTAACGCAGTATACATAGGAAGCGTTATTCTACAAAGTTGCGGCCTTACACATACACAAATGTATACATGTAGCGTGTATAGATATAACGGTAATAGATAATGATAGTGCAATATATTATAAAAAAACATCGAAGTCAGAGAACGTTCACGAGGACGTTTTGTCTCTTGATACATGTAATAGGAAAAGTACAACGTACAGATATACGTAACAAATACTTGTATATAGATATATGTACACATATCGAAATATTGGCACAGGATTAGAATATAGTCAGTTTGCGTACACATTGGTTGCAATCGCATCTCGTCTCTTTCGTAAATTCTGAGGCCCGTAGTAATTACTTGAAACGTCTCTCAAATGAGATATTTAGATTTGAATTCAGAGAAACAGTTTCGCTGTTGAATCGCGATTACAATTATATAAATGTCACACATATATATATCATGATTCGACTGAAAAACTTGGACCCAACTCTGAGTAAAAATCTGAGTATCTCACATGAAACAAGTTTTAGGCGATAATTGTTAATACAGGCCCGAGACGCGTTACTCTCAATCCTCAGCAGGTACCACAAGACATCTTGGACACCATGACGTATACACGTTATTTAAATTATTGTTAAAATTTTAAAAAATCTTACACACGAAGTGATATGATTAAAATGCTCCCTTAAAGATACTTCGAGTTTAATCATCTCTGTTTTTCTTTTTTTAAGGATCGTATAGATTTTGGTTCGAGTTACGGTAAAAGCTTAACGTTTATGATATCCGTTGAGGTTTGAGCATATATGATGTTAGATCGTTAAATTCAATACGGTGGACGTGCCAAAGCGACACAACCGTTCAGAAGGCGGCTGAAAGACGTACATGAGATGTGTGAAACTTCATTAGACGTCTGCCAGGCGCCTCTTAAAGAACATTTTCACAATGTCTCGACGGTTCATGTCGTTTTGGTCTTGGAAATTGAGGACCCTGAAATTATGGCACAACTTCAATATCGTGTATACAAAAGTCAACGTTTCTATCTTCTCGACTAGTCGCTCCATCACTTCAACGTACACTTATAATCACATTGCGCTCCCCGTCACTATACTGTTACTTGCACGTTCTGCACAACGTTGCTCCAATCGAGCTTGGAGGGCACCAAGTAGAAAGCAGGCGCGATTTTACTGCCGCAGGGGCATTGACTGCCGGCGATCCAGCTGTACGAGCCGAGCTTCGTGTTGCATTTAGGACAATTCAGCTTGCCCTCCACCGCGTGCGTGATGTCGGGCATCCAAGCAAGCGGCTCAACGAAGTAGATCTTGTTGCAGAGCTCGACACGCGCCGCTGCCGACTCGTCCCTCTTCTGAAGCGGTTTGTCGCAGTTCTCAGCGACAGCGGCGTCCTTCGCGCCGCTACTACTGATATGACGCCAGATTTGTTTCTCGCGTGGCGCATGTGGCAAAATGTTACTGGCGCTGGCGACGATGCGACGGCATTTCTTGCAACGGTAGACCGTCGGTTCGGGACGCACCGTCGTCAGCGCCGGATCAGGCTTCACCAGGTCGATGCAGCTCTGCGGCAAGATACGCGCCTTGCGAACCTTATCGGCTGCGATCTGCAGCCGATACATCTTGAACTGCACGTTGCTACTGTCAACGCCGAAACCCATGTCCTCGTAGAGGCGTAGCTGTGCCACGAAGCCGGGGTTCGGCGCGACGAAGCGTCGCTTCGCCTTCACCGCGTGAAACACGTCCGTGAAGCTGCTCTCATGCTTCTTCATTATGTAAGCGATCACGACAGTGGCGGACCTCGACATGCCGAAGTAGCAGTGTACCAATACCCGACCGTTGGACTCTATGGCACGGTCGATGAACTCATACGAGTCCTCGAAGTATGTGAGCAAATCTTCGCGTGGCATATCCGTCACTTGGATATACTTGGTGATCAAGTTAGGCAGGCGATCCTGGATCTTCCTCGGCAATGGGCACGAGTCCACCGTCAGTATATGAGTTATCTCAACTTCCTTCAGCCAATCAATGTCTGTGGCAGCTGTGAGATTGCCCAGGAAGAGACCAGGTTCGATCTCATCAAAGCTGCAAGGTCCGGCATCAAAGTCCTCCCTCGTCAGCTTGTTCAAGTCGTTTTGTGTAGTCATGTTTAATTGACACCCTGCAAGCATAAATAAAGCTACGACAGACATCTCTAAAATTCAAGTCTTAGAGAACTAAATCAGGAACTAATTTATTCATCATGTATACAAAATAATTTATATTGGTCATTAAATTTGGATTGATTTGGAAAGTAGTTACATGGAACTTTAAGGAGTTTATTCGCACCAAATATGTATTTTCAGAACATCTAAGAGACAATAGTACATCAAGGAAGCTATCCATAAATTTACTATTCATTGAACAAATTACACTTTTATATATTTATTTCACTATTTAAATAAATATTAATTTGAAACTAATTTTATAATACTACCACATTTCACTCAGTTATGCTCAGTACGCTATTCAAAATATAAAACAGCAGTTTTCTGGTCTGCAATTGACTATTGCACAAAAACAGTATAGTGAACATTTTCTTTTCTTCTATAGAGTTCTTTAATATATAACATTTATAATAGTAAATGTTTTATTTAGATGGTACCATTTTTTGCAATATTATATTGGAATAATAGTTATCTATATTGCTTCTACTTTAAGGGTTACATATGCAGGATAAAATTGCAATATTCAGTATCAAATTTCTTATGAATGATGCAAACAAATCGCATGAAATTTTAACTACAAATGTTTTATTGCAATAAAAGTTATATTACATTTTTGTATAATTTTTAAGTATTTTAGTATAAATGAATAAACTCCTTAAATAACTGTCTCGATTTTGCTACATTTAGTCCTGATAGTAGTTTTCTATAATTCTTATTCCATGTTTATATCAAAATTATATTTTTGTGTAACTACGAATAAACTCAAAATATACTTTTAAATATTAAATATGAAGAACTACTAAAAAAACAGAGCATGTAAAAGTTGTTATTTGGAAGATCTACTTTTGATAGCAATCAACAATATTATACAACCTTAATTATACACAACTGAGAATTGTTGTTGAAAATTATTCCAACCAGATAATGTTTCTTTTCAGTAGATACATATTATAACTTTGTTTGATGTAAAATATGTAATCTTAATAGAGATGAAGTATACGATTGGTTATCACTGAATAATGCAATGAACAATCACAGGCACAAATCAATATTTGTAAAATATAAAACAAACTTGCCTGAACAAAGAAAGGGTTATCCTTGCCGACAAAAACATACAATATCAATGGCCATCAAATCTACTTTGGAATCATGCCTTGTAGAGGGACATTACGCCGTTCATTTAACTCACTTGCTGCGTGGAATTTAATTTAAAATATCTCGGGCAATAATAATGACACACATGTGTAATATTGTGCGTGCCACTTTAACAATTGTCTAGGAAGATGGATTTCACTTAAATCCAAAGTGATCTTGGAAAATTTTGTCATATTTCACAATGTAACCGACGATGCGCATTCCAACATGTGTCACAATTACAGGTGGGCAAACGATATGCGGACCGTTCAATTGAATCGGCTCGCATTAAACAATAGAGAGAAAGTACATACAGGAAGAACTGTGGTTCATCAGCTCAGTAGCTCACTCTACCGGAGCTTTTGGTGATTCGGTTCTAGAGAGCAGACTCGACGGTTCGTTCTCTGCTTCACTTTAGACCGGGAATACACAGGAAAATTTTTGAAATAAAACTTAAGGTGCGGGTCTCAATGGCCTGGTTTACATCGTGCACTTGATACGCGTACTAAATAGTAACTTTCTATTAGATAATCTTAATATCGACAATGCATATTAACAGAGACGCATTCTATCAATACAATTTTGTTGATAAGTATTATACCAGCTTAATATAACGTTGTTTATATATATCGTCGATATTAAGATTATCTAATAGAAAGTTACTGTTTAGTACGCGTATCAAGTGTACGATGTAAACCAAGCCAATGATTAAGTTTATACGACAGCTTAAAACCGGTTTAGTAACAACCGTATTTAGTAAACTCTCGCATCCGATTGGTATATTCTTTTACATCTAAAAATATACTCCAATCAGATTCAAGAATTCACTAACTACGGTAGTTACTAAACCGGTTTTAAGTTGCCGTGTAAACTTAGTCAATGTTTACGGACCATTGAACCCGCACCTTTATGCCCGTATTCATAGTCCTTGTCCACAACTTTGCTTAAAATATAAGCTGTAAGAAATTGACCAATCATTGTCAATTTTTGGAAGAATAATCGGCTGTAGTTGGTCAATTTCTTACAGCTTATGTCCTAAAGCAAGTTTGTGGACAAGGGCATAGTCAGGCCTCTTATATTTCAGATACTCTACGGATTATTTTCCCCTTGTCCACAACCTTGCTTTAATTCTTAAATCATAAGAAATTGACCAACCACCGTTGATTATTTTTAAAATAATAAAACTGTGGTTAGTCAATTTATTACGGCTTGAAGATTAAAGCAAGGTTGTTGCCCATTTCTAGTCAAGCATACTTTATAGATAGGCAATATTTGATACATGATTTTTCTCATTGTTTGAAAACAAACATATAACTAGTTGAAAACTTTAATGGCTCCTGCACACAGGACGCGGTAATGCTTGCCGCGCAGCGGAAGTCCGCGCGACAGCCAATCAATATGTTGCTTTTCCGTAAGAGCTACAAGGTTATTACGGAAAGCAGCATATTGATGGCTGTCGCGCGACTTCTGCCGCGCGGCAAGCATTACCGCGTTTTGTGTGCAGGAGCCATAAGAAAAAAGTACTACTGGATATCTCTTTCGCATCGAATAGATAGATATTGCAGCAATTGAAAAAAACTTAAGCAGTATTTGTCAACGGTCATACCTCGTTGAGAGCACCAGTTCTCGTCTGATCACTGAAGTTAAGCAACGATGGGCGCGGTTAGTACTTAGATGGGTGACCGCTTGGGAACACCGCGTACTGTTGGCATAATTTTTTCTTTTTTTTGGGCATATTTTACTATTGTGATAAATTTATTTTAATTGATCTTCAAATCTTTGTTTCAAGAGATCGATTATCTTCTCGATTTTATGAAGTTCGATTTGCATAACAGAAAATTTTGCTATTTAATAACCTTCTGTCGGTAAATGTGTTGATAAAAATGTATAAAATCATTGTAGATGATAATTACAGAAGTGCAATTTCATAAAAATATTGAATATACTTCATTGTGAATTTATATACATAATGATGTGAAGCATCAAGTTATAAATCATAAATTAATTCTTTCTTACACACTGGATGTCTAGATATCTATATCGGATAGCTGAAAACAGTCGATAATGTCATTCATCTTCAATTATCTCCAAACTCCTCGGGGTCTCTTTGCCCCTTTGCTAGTATGAAAATTTACCTAAGACTGACATTCTTCTGACTGAATAATATTTCGTCGGTGGCTGGACTAAGGGCCATTTTTTTCAAGCTCCAGTTAAACAAACTCTTTCAGTAATTTTGTAGGATTGTAAAAAAAGTTACAAAGTCAGCGTTAAATAAAAAGCACGACTGAAGAGAACGCTCTCACAATGCACGCAGGAAAAACCTGTATGACATTAGGTTTGAATATTTGCTAAACGGTTTGAATCACGACTAAGATTTCTGTACAATACACATAAGTTTATTATTATCTACCAAATAATCACAGCTTTATAAATTTGTTTATTTATCAGTTTAAGCTTATTTAATATAAAAAATTATTTATATAAAAAACTAGTTTTACATAATCTCTTATTTTACTTTCTTAAAATTTAATCTTTTACTTTAATATTTTATTTATATAAGAAATTTTGATTTGATGACAGGTGGATGAGCAATACAAATTTCGTATCGAATTTCGTATCGTGTTCGATATTTTTTAAATAGGTAGATATTGCACAGGTTGGAAAAAACTTTAAGCACTAAGCGTCAACGGTCATACTTCGTTGAAAGCACCAGTTCTCGTCCTGTTATTGAAAAGTTTTGTTTATTGAGCTTATTGTATACATTTAATTGTAATTTTGGTCCTAAATAAACGATAAAAAAAAACACCAGTTCTTATATAAATTTGCCATATATACATTTTCTGAAATTGCAAAGAGACTTTTTTACTTCTTCAATTTTTCACCGTTGACTTTCAATATATCCAAATCCTCATTAAACAGATAAATAAGTATGCCTTTGAAATGATTTTCCAAATATTCCTGCCAATTGAAATCTGTCATGTCGAAATTAAACAGATGCTGATCCCTCCTGTACAACCTATGCCACATTGATTGAACGTTGTAATTGGCATAAGTCCATTCTCTGACCATAAAATATCCAAGATTTTCCATATCTTGGTAAAGTTTATTATATAATTTCTGTAAGCTAAAAGATAACATATTGTAACACAAGTATTTTGAGATATTTAGTAGATTAGTTAAAAATACCTTCTTTTATTTGTGTTTCTTTCCAATTTGTCCAATAAAATAGCAGGTAACGTGTAAGTGAACCAATTGCGAGTTTTATATAAACTCTTTTTTTTAATCAATTTTACGGTTAGAAGCCACGGTTCCAGTGGATATTTCTTACCAATCACTTTCGCTATCTGAAAATACTGGCCCCAGGTTATAGGTGCATCGTTCGACGATACATAATTGTAAATCAACGTTTCAATACCTCTCCTGCAATAATAATTTCAATAGAGTGTAAAAATATCTACATCGAGAATACATGAAAATAAAGTAATTTTTGGAGATATCTCAACGTACAAATATTACATTAATAATTACAAGTTATTTATTTAATATTTTAACGTTATTTTAATGTTTATTTTAACGTTTATTTTAACGTGAATTAAAACGAATACCTGTAATTCTTACTCTTATCATACGGAATATAATAATCGATTATTATATAATGAATTGATTATATAATTATCATAAAAAATCCTATATTTTGAAAAAATATCTAGAACGAGTAATAAAACAAGAAGTTTTGAATGCACAAATTATTTTAGCATTAAAATAAAAGTCTAAGGAAAGATTTATCTCAATGAACAATAATTCGCGTTTATTTTGCCTTTTTCTTCGTCAAAGCCAATCTACAAGCTTATACGTAGTCATTGCATTCTTGTTACGTATTCCTGTCGCACGCGTCTCTGAATTGGTTCCTAATTTGTCGAACCTCTTTCTATAGATCCATGTCACGTATTACTGTACGTGCAAATTTCTCGTCGCTCGCTACATTTGTGCATGCATGAATCGTACCTGTCTGGTTTATTAGAGACATCCCACGCAGCAACAATTAGAGCGTTTATGGTTTTATCGACAGGCACTAAGTCTACTACGCAGTTAGGATCACACCATATATATTTTATCAGTCTTTTGTAAATATACTTCACCAGTCCCATGGGACCGTAATAATTACCGACCCATCCCGCAAGCGGTTCATCAGCAGTGGATATAACTAAAAATGAAATTAATTAAAGATTTAGGATGAATGAAAATAAGGAAGGGTCATAATCTTGTATATAGACATAATTTTCTAGTCGCGTAAAGATGTATGCGAATCGAAGATATAAAAAAGAGATTACCCTCGCAGATTGATGTTATGAGATAAATTCTTTGCAAAAAGAAACATTGTAGAGAAAAACACGGTTGCACACACAATTAGTTTTTGTCGATAATTTACATAATATCATAAATGATAATAAACATAGAAGGCTAACGACGTTATGCTTGGAGAAAAAATACACGAGGAAACTTGTTGAGAAATATTCTCAGAATTTTTCATGCAATCTGTCTTACAGCAAAATTTTAATATTTTCTCAAGAATATATCTCCAGATTTATTTTACAAGTTGGAACGTGTTTTATAAGCACTTAAGCAAAAAAATTTGAAGTACTGATTCACAGCACATTGTGCTATATAAATAAAATTGAGTAGTGACGTTATGGATGTTAAAGAAAAAATACACAAAGAAATCTAGTGTGAGAAATATTCTTTGAAAAATTATGATGAATATTTTTTATCGGGTTTTAGTGAGCAAACTTGACATAATTGCATCAAGCTTAAGACATAAAGTATGAAGTAATAAAGTATTCCTCACCTGTACCCGGTCTAAAAATTCCAATCGGCAATTCCTCGCTTACTTCTTTCACTAATGATTCCGCGACGGCTTTGGTAATTGTATATGTATTCGGCCAAGCAGAGAAAGCCCTAGAAAGAAAACGTTAATTTAGCTATCGACGTTTCTTACAATTCGTTGCTATTCTCTTGTGCTCGAAATAAAAATACATGTTGTTTTAATACTCACTCGGCGATCTGTTCACTGACTTCTCCGGGTTTTAAATTCTTCACTATTGTAAGAAAAGTTTGATAAGTGATAGGACATGGGTAGAAAATTTCTTCGTTGTGCTTTAAATAGCAGTTCGCATTCAGTGCCGATACGTAAATAAACGCCTACAATACAAATTTACATCCTTACAAAATCGACTGAATCATAGATAAATTGAAGAATTTAGTTTTAACGGTATCTTGTCGCAGCGTTGATTATTTATTACACTATCTTTTAATCAATTTGTTTCCGTAATCTATAAAGCATAATATCTTTTAGAATGTGCTATTTAATTGAGATACCTTCAAATTTTTCATATCTTTAGCCATATCTAAGATATATTTGGTGCCGTTAATGTTTGTCATCGCAACAGATTTGAATTCTTCTTTAAAGCGTACGTTTGCGCCCATATGAAAGACGATAGATACCTATAATGAAATGTTAATCTGATATCACATTGCTGGAAGATCGCGGTGTGTTGTTTGTAATTCGCTTAAGTAAAATGTGAGAAGTAATAAATAGATATAAACTCTTACATTCTGTTTGAGGAGGCTGTCATCGTCCCGTGAGAGACCTAAATTTGCGACAGACAAATCACCCTTTATCGGCACGATTTTGCTTCGAAAATTTGGCACTTCCGCCTTAAGTCGATCGTAAATCTATCAACCGACATAGTAATAAGAATTATTATTAAAACTAATATTATATTACATACTCAGTTATAATATTAATAATATACAGTAATTGAGACTTATAATTATATTCGATAATTTATATTGACACAGCATATGGATTTAATAGTAGTAATTGTAATAACAAGTAATAGAGAAAAATGACATAATAGAGCCGACCTCATCAATTTCAACGAGCCTTGAAATATGTTCTCAAAGTTATAATTCTCTCAGTAATCTTTAAGAAGTTTTAACTACCGATAATATTTAACGACAATATTGTTTCACACTTACCATGTTCTGAAATATATCATTGAGCCGGTCTTCGACATCTCTTTCAGTTTTTGAACGTAATAATACATAAATAGTAGTGATATCGGTGCACGCACGTAATAATTTCTCGATTAATATTTTTCCAAGAAAACCGGATCCTCCTTCAAAATGACAACATAAATTAAGTTTTATCTTTTTTTAATCGCTTTTCAACGAACTTATAAAATTGAACGAAAAAATCCTATATGTTATTATATGACTAATAAAAAAAGTAGTCTTATATAATTCATAACAAAAATTATCTAGATACGAGAATTAGCTAAGATGGACAAATTCATCCTACCATATCACACACACTTGTTTGCCAACTTCCTATTGTTAATATCTCAAAAATAAAAAGTTGCATAATAGATAACCTGTTAATAGATCTCTGTTTCGTTACACGGACTGAAATTTATAATTTTTTTGCACAAACGGACGTCCGTGTTGCATTAGACCCTGTATATGCAGGTAGTTCTAATTATAACCGGTTGAAGATATTAAATTTAACGATACAATACCTGTGATAAAAATTGTTTGGCCGGAATAAAACTGCTGTATCCGCGTTTTATTGACGTTTAAACCATCCTTCTTCTTAGGGTTAACGGTGTTTGGAATCTTCTCGCAGGTAGCTGGGTTTCTCGCAGTAGGTAGCTCACTTTTTTTATCAGTTGAATAACATTTCTCAGAGATTTCATTGTTCTGTATATTAAAATGCAACATGTAGAATAGCATGAAGCGCTTAAATAACTGTAAGAATATATGACCTCGAATGTTCTAATCTTTTTGAAATAAGATAGCACTTAAAAATACACGTGAAGATTCACTCAAAGCGATAGTGAAATTACTGAAATTATTGCCTTTGTATGAATCATAAAGTGACTATTTTGTTGAAGCTTAGAATGTGAAGTCTAACTCTATACGAGAGAATGAATTCAATCGGTTAGAACGGAATTATTCTTAGTGATAGTGAAATAGGGGTCAAACAATCGTAGGTCTTTCCTTTTCGCTGAATTAGTGTACACTTACGAAACGTGAAAAAAAATTAATAAGTGGTTTAAAAATAAAACAATAATGATAAGACCTAGTTTATACGAAACTACTATAGATACTGACAAACTAACAACAGAGGTCTGTTGAAATTTGCAATTTATTTTTTAATATATGTTGCGGATAAATATATGCAGCGGACTCACATAAATCAGTCTTATCAAAATTGTAAAAAGAAATAGGTATACAGTTAAGACTTGGAGCAAAAGAGAGAAGAGGGGCGGAGAGGGGAGAAGAGCTGATTCAGGTAGTCCAGCGAAAAAAAACGAACTACATGTGTCAGAAACAGATGGACAAAACACATGGCACCAATCGTAGGCCAGATCAAGTATCAGATTTACTTTTCGATTGGAAATATTTACTCAGTGACTTAGAATAGAGAATTTACTTTGTATGAATAAAAAAATTACTTGAACTGGCGTGTCTTGACTGTCACTACTCTATTTTTCGAGTGAAATTTCGCTTCAAGAAATTTCGAGGAAAAGAGGAATAGTTGTTAGGCAAATATGATCTCGACACAATATTACGCATAAAATAAAATATATTATTATAGTGCATATCAAAAGTAACATACTAGGAGAAAGTTTTATGTACTTACTTCGCCGTTGTTATATATATGTAATTGCCCAGGGATTGGAATTATGGGACTCATAGAGAGTGAATCCGACACAGACATGCTGATTCTCCGGTTTCGTTGTTCGAACAAATGCTACTGAGATAGTACAATAAAATAAACTGAAAGATGAAGTGCAGCTAGTATGTTTCAAAGTAACTCGAGTTTACTCGAGAATTTTCGCGATACTGACGAACAAACTAAAGAAGCTGCTTCGAATCGACCACGAGGATAACTGGAAGAGTGTTTTAAAGTTGCGATACGTTCTCTAACTAAATTACTGAAGAGAAAAATCCAGCACTACTAGTTCTTATTTCACCACGTGACGAAGTAACTCACAGCTAAGACTACGTTGAACGTTAGTTTCTAAAATATTCACTTCGTCAATTCAGAACCTAGCTGCAACGTTGCATTCTTTTTAGACGGTGGAACAATAAGAAGCATCGACGTTTTCTACCTGAAGACAAGCCCACGACTGCTTTCTTTCATCATCCAACAAAATGTGTGTAGAATGGTCATCCCCACTACGCAGCACACCATTTATCACATTTCCACCAATTATCGGTGAACACTTCAACTTGTATCTTATCAGGAGAAAATTAGAAAACAAAAGTCATTACGTAGCTATTATAGATTCTTATTATTATAATTTTTTATTGTCTATTTTGGAAAACCCATATTAAAACTTCCGATTTTAATGAAATTGGAAGAAGTTATAGAAAAAATTTGACGCACTAAATAATCCATATACGCTTTTAAGAGCTAAAACATTCTTCCGGCAAAAATCACTTTCTTTTCTTTCGGAGAAAGTATCGTCAAAACTATGAAAGATAGAAAAAAATTTGAATTGTTTCAAGAGTATCTTACAATGATGTTACTAAATTTTTCGAAAATGTTATGTATTCATTTCAACATACTCCCATTATTGACTATTTTTTCTAATCTAACAATTTTTTACAAATAAATGAAAGTCTATTTTACAAAGATATATTTTTCTCGAAATGAAAGTGCCTTTTACGATGAATTACAACCTAAAAATCAAGTAGATAATCCGACACTAACCTTGTAGCTATGCGATGCATATCGATTCCATTGACTAATCCTTTGAAAATCAAACTACTCTGTTTTAGAAAATTCCTTACTGAATTCCCATTACTCGATTAATGCGATAACTGCAAATAATTTCTTCGTTGCGATTATATTCAGGTAGTCCAGCGAAAAAGAACGAACTACATGTGTCAGAAATAGATGGACAAAACACATGGCACCAATCGTAAGCCAGATCAAGTATCAGATTTACTTTTCGATTGGAAATATTTACTCAGTGACTTAGAACAGGGAATTTATTTTGTATGAATAAAAAAATTACTTGAACTGGCGTGTCTTGACTATCACTACTCTATTTTTCGAGTGAAATTTTGCTTCAAGAAATTTCGAGGAAAAGAGGAATAGTTATTAGGCAAATATGATCTCGACACAATATTACGCATAAAATAAAATATATTATTATAGTGCATATCAAAAGAAACATACTAGGAGAAAGTTTTATGTACTTACTTCGCCGTTTTATCTACTTACTTTTGTTATATATATGTAGTTTCCCAGGGATTGGAATTATCCGTAAATTTGCTTGAAATGTTATCCGTAAATTTGCTTGAAATGGAAAAAACAACGACGAAATGGACGACGACGATAAAAATTAAATTCCATTGTTTGAAAATTAAAATTAACTATTATATAAATTAAAGTGGGTAACGTTCATGATTCGATCTTACGGTGATGGGTTTTTTAATGTTTACCATTTATAATCGTTTACCATTTATAACCGTTTTATAATCCATATATACAAGTCCATATTAAGAACACAAATAATCATCTTATAAAACTTAGCTACTTTATCTATGTATGTCGTCGTGAAAGCCAACGTTTTTAATAACAAAATCTTTTAATGTATCTCTTTGCTTCTAAAGTACTGAATACCATAAAGGAATAATACTAATAGCAGTTATTATTCTTAATTAATTGTATTATTAAATATTTAATTTATAATTGTATAATTGTATTCAATATTGTATTGATTAAGTATTATTCATAACATTAGATTCCCGTTGTTAATGTGTCTTAGGTATATTGCAGAATATAATCTTCAATGGACGAAGAAAATAAAAGTTTATGAAGTATTTGCGAAATTCCGAATAGTCTATGATACAGCTGGAAAATATAATGAGCAATAATAAGATTGCGTATCATCTGTTTTAGATGATCTATGTTTATATGTCGTGTCTCTATCTATTAAGTAGCAAAATCTTCCTTAATAAACTAAAACCTACATATTTTATTCAGTAGTTAATTACGCAACAAAAGGAATCTAAACAAATGTTTTATTCTTTCTTCCCATTTTCTAATTTTAACTTTTTTCCTCTCTACTCTTCTCTACTCTTCGATTATTCAGTGTTAAGCTTTAACATGTTTGTTGTATAGAATGCATGACAGTAAAGTAAGACATCGATGAATCCGACAACTGAAACAAGCGATGACTGCATTTATAATATACCTTTACTCAAAGTTATAAAACATTGTTACTATGAATATACCATGATTTATACTGATATCTTTTCACCATAGCGAATCTAAAGATACTGGAAACAATCCGTCGATATTCAAGTCAAATATTTTATTTCCTCTTTACAGCAGAAGCAGTATCAACCGTTGTATAGGTAGAAGTGCTACATACCAGCGCACGCGCTTGCTATTAAAACTCGCTGGCTGTTAAAACCACAATTTAATTAAATTGATAAATAACATTAGCAGTTTTCAGCAAAAGTAGCAAAATAACATTAGTAATCTTCAGTAAAAGAGTAAAATTATCGACAGTTAAGTATAATTGTATGGAATAAAAACAATACCAAATAAAATTCTATTTTTAACTTTGAAAGTGCCAAACAATTTAGGATTGGGCTTGAAATTTAAGATGTTGGAATTGTTCGACTTATTTTATACAATAGTTTACTATAGGCGAAGAAGTTGGATATAATTTCTCTTTCTCTCTTTTTCTACTTTACAACATATATTATTCCATGTTAGGTTTTAATTTTGCTGCTGCGTAGAATGCAGTAAGGTAAAGTAAGACATCGATGCACTCGACAGCTATACCAAAAAATCCATCACTTTGTTTTTTGTCACTTATAGAGCGTTACATTCAATACGTCATGATATATTCTAATGTTTATTACCGTGCTGAAGCATTCTAAGGATGCTGTAAACAATCCACCGACATTCAGGCCGAAAATTTTCTTGTTCCTTTGCAGCAGAAACAATATCAGCTTCTGTATATGTATCGGTGCGGCATACCATCGAACGTTGTATCTGCAAAAAATAATAATTATACTACAAAGAAATGTAGAAAATGTTAATATTAGTACTGTCCAGTGTACAAAAATTTGGCTTGAAAAATTACATTAACTTCGTCTTTTATTATTGCTCTGCACTGTAATTAATTATGACCAATGAATGGAAATGTATCTTACGCAGTGACGAATATAGGGTTATTATGATCTATAATTTCTTGTCCAATATAGTTAGCCAGGAACAGATATGTGAATATACTAATTACATACATAAAATGCAGAAAAAAATTCTCGACGTTTTCTCTAAGCGACAGAACCTGAAAAATCTAAGACACAGTGGTTATGATAAAAATTTTTAAAACATTACTGAATTGATTAATTACGTATCAATACGTTCTCTAGCAGTGTCACATATTATTGATATGTCGTAAATCATTTTTCAATATAGATTTTCATTTTATTTCGAATTAAAAAATACGTATTATACCACGTAAGAGTTATTTTAAAAGCCGCGCCAATAACACAACTTCATTCAGGATATTCGTTTAAGATCCTTTTTTTAAGAACGGGATAAAACTCACTCGGAAGATATTGAGACTCAAGCAAGTCACAACAATCACTATCAAGAAAAAAAAGTACACTTCAAAGCGATTTATTAAGAGGGTGCTGCCTTCAAAAATTAAGTAATTTTTATTACACGTAATATTTCAGTCATAAAGTATATACCAACTTTATAGCTTTGCGATGAATATTGACAGCACAGATTATATTCCTATGCATTATATCATTTCGTATAGCAATATCTTGTCGACTGGTGATTTTTATCGCCTTATCAATACAATAGCTGTAAATAATTTTTCTTCCCTGTGAACGTATGTAGCTTTCTGGAATATATTAAAACAGCCAACTTTTCAATTACAAGCCTGATTTTTATACTATTACATTAATATTATTACATTAATGCATTATTATAATAATTTTCTTACCAGGCGATACTAAACATTCCACAAATATGTTGAAAATATTCTATTAATATTGTGCCAGTCGTTATTAACATAGTCTCTCCTATACAAAACACTACATCCATATGCAACCATGTCAAATAAAAATATTTTCTGTTGTCGACAAAATATTCAGTTATAATTCGTATTGCGTGATTTGAGCGAGAATAATTTGTAAGCAGGTAAATATCAAAAATGTTTTTCATCACGGAACAAAACAAAATAAAAACAATGCAGATGAGAAGAACTGTGGATAATTAAAAGAACGCTCATTAAAAAAAAATAGGTTTCTTAATCTTTTTTCGAAATATCGAATCAACAATTATACTATATTTGCTAGTGGTCAATAATTTAATTTTTATTATAAACGCAATCTATTTTACTACATAATATGTATAGAAAAAATCATAAAATATTATCTTACGTCTAATTTTAACCATGTAACATTTCGCGGTGCATGTGTAACTTTCTATGATAGCGAGTTCATTCTCATCTTTCAGATCATTAAATAATAAAATATTAACAAATAAAGGGAAGAAACAGAGTGTATGACGAAACAAAGTGTGAGTATATGTATACATAGAAGTCGTATTGTTAAAACAAATGCATAACTTACACGCTTTATATTAAGCTCAAATGAGATATAATGAATTACAAAGAAAGCATAAAATAATGCCGAGGAAAGAACTTTAATGACAAAATCAGGAGTACACTTTGTAGTCAGCAATGCCCTAAACTGCAAGCAGTAAATTATTTGAGAATTTCATATTGCAAAACCGTTATTCGTTTTTTTTTATCTTTTTTTAATACATCCGTACATTAATGTATATATTATGATTAAGAAAATTAACATACCTGAAATACAATACAGCTCATAAAAATTACAGAGACCAAAATTGTCAGCTGCAAAATAATAATTGGTAGAGTATAAAGTACAGTAAACTTTTACATGGTGTTTGCGACGGTGTCTAATATGTATTCACAAGCTTTTTGTTGTAGCATCATATTGAAGACAAATGTCAGCAATTTTATATACTTGTAATATTTTATACAGTTACCTATATATTATTATATCGCATGCCGTAAGCTGTGTTATTTGTAATAAAATGCTTTCTAATGAATCTAATCTAACGAATCTCCTTGCTTCTACGATGTTAAGGACCAATTATGTCAAAGGTCAGTGATACTCTATACAAAAAATTAAATAATCGTGAATTTCCGGCTGACACCTTGTAAATGATGAAATGACTGAAGGATAAGATAAACCATGATAATAAATAATTATTTAAGCTTTTAATTTCAACTACTTACGCCAGTAACTATTTTAGTCTTTACTTTTTAAACTTTAATCTTTTACTTTGATCTTACTTCTCTTTTCTATTTTCCGCTATTATTTAAAGTTATATCTTAATCCCGTTGCTGCATAGAATACATAACAGTAAAGTAAGACATCGACGCACTCGACAACTGAAATAAGTCAACTTCGTTTATGTATATTTACTTAAAATATGCCATCTTATAAATATAATAAGATGGCTGATTTTTTTTACCGTAGTAAAACATTCTAAAGATGCTGAAAACAATCTACCGATATTCAAGGTGAAATTTTTGTTACCCCTTTGTAGTAGCAGCACTATCAGTCTCTGTATAGATAAGGGCATCATATACCATCGAACATTGTACCTAAAGAGAAATATATTTGTCTTTGAAAAATTAAATTATTTTTGCGTGTTTTCGTCTTATTTCAAAACAATTCATTGTAAGCATCGTGTCAAAAAGTGTCTTACGCGTTGAAAAATATATTGTTGTAGTGATCCGTGACTTGTTGTCCGATATAATTTGATAAAAACATATACAAAATACTGGTTATTACATATGTTATATGTATTAATAATTCCCTAATATCTTCTCTAAACGATATAATCTGCAAAAGCTAGAAGAAAACTAGATTCAAAACATGATTGAAATAAATCTCGCATACCTCTATTTCAGAATCACCTATTAATAATTTTACATATTTTGTCATTTTGTAAAACGGAGTTATATTACAACAAAATAGAAATGCAAAAGAGTAATTACATAATGCACATATACATATTATACTCAAGCAGGAATTTACTACTAGCATCAAAGTGACCCAGTACCGATTTATAGTAAACGTTACTGGCATAGTACTAAATGCCAGGGCTAAATGTACGGGCTTAGTATTGGTGTGATACTGGGATGATAGAAAAGGGCCTGTATCGGAAGACAGTACAGTCACAGTACCGGAAATCAGTACTGTACTAGTATGAAAAAAGTATTGATTCCTAGCACTAGAGAAGTATCTATTCCCAGTACTGGGCCAGTATCGATTCCTAGTAATTTTTATTATTTGTGCAATTATTAATATTACAATTATATAGTATGGAAAGAAAGATCAAACTATAGCCGGGGCTGCACTCGTACCTATACAAGTGTATTTTTAATAGTTATATAAGGAAAAAATTTTTGGGGCGACAGCTGGAATCGACAGTTGGAATCGACGAACTCGAGTCTTCCGCTTGTCAGACAAGTGTTCTTACCACTGGGCTATCTAGGTTTCGCGTTAGGGACCTCTTCCGTTTTCCCATAAAGGACATTAGTATCATCCGTTTCTCGGTACAGGAACAATACTGACCCAATATCATCTATTTGCAGATTGTATACGATTTTTACTTGGGTATCCAGTACAGATTCTACGAACAGAGCCAGTACCAATAATACAGCTTTATTAATACTGGGCCAAAAACGACAAACACTTTTCGGTAACGCCCCAGTATACACACGGTACGACTATCCAATACCTAATCTGAATACGGAGCCAGCACCAATAATACAGCTTTTTTATATTAAGCCCAGCACTGAGCCAGTACCATAACCGGACATCCGCTTTTCAGTATCGACCCAGTATTGAGCCATTTTTCCTTATTGGCGAAACGAATACAATTTCTACTTGGGTAACTTTGATATTAATGAATTTTTTTAAATTTACGTGATTTATAAAATTCGAATTGTTATTTGCGTCAAATACAGTAACTTGCCTTTCCAGATAGAACAAAAAATCAATTACATGACTAAAAAATTCACTTTCCAATCATGATTCAATTATTTTCTGATTTTGATATTATTTTAATGTTACCGTAATTATATATTCTGATTATGTCATAATAAATTGTTCTAAAATAGTGTAATGTTATTACACAAAACTATATTTAGAAGAGTGAGAAAACTCACGCGATAAATATTGAGGCTCAACGAAGTTACGCCAAATACTATCATGAGGAAGAACGTTCCCTCAAATTTGGTTATTAGAAACTTGCAATACCTAAAGCAATGAAAGTCATTATGTTATGCATTGTACACGTATGTTTGAATATATACTAACTCCATAGCTTTGCGATGAATGTCCACGGCATAAATAATCCCTTTAGAAACTATGATTTCTTTTTTCGGATTGATATTGATTTGATTTTCCTGATCAATATTTATCGCTTGCTGGATACGATAACTATAAATAATTTTTGTGCTATAAACATGATATATAGACACTGTTACCTTATCCAACATCACTAAAGATGACTAACAGCGATTTTACTTTCAATTCAAGTTTACGTAAGGTAAAAATAATGTCTGAGCACTACTAATCTTAGTATCCAACTTTGGACATTTTATTATTTTTTTATTGTCTTAAAATATTAGCATTTAAATTCTTAATATAGAAATAGAGTGGAGAGAAAGAAAATATATATTATATTCTACTTTGAATGTTCAAATATTCGTATTGAAAATCGAAAACAATAAAAATTTTCATAGTTAGATATCAATGTCATTAGTGTCAAAATATTATAGTACTTTTACATTGCATTACTACATTTATTGTCTTACCAAGCGATACTAAACATTGCGCAGCTATATTGGAGATATCCTATGAGCATACTACCGGTTGCTACCGTTACGATCAGCTCTATACAAATGAGTACATTCGTGTGCAGCAAAATTAAACATATATCTTTTTTTCGATTGGCAAAATCGGTTATCCACATCAGGGCACGATGTGATTGAGACTCGTTCACAAGCAAAGAACCTTCAACATTCTGGCCCAAAATTGACTCGGTGATAATAATAAATATCAAGAACATTATAAGCGCTAAGGATTTAAAGAGACATGTAATGAATGTATGAACATGTAAAATTAATTTTATTGTATAAATTTTATAATAACTTTTTTGTAACGCGCGTGCGTGTTCGAATGCGAGAGCGATGGCTCTTATAGACCATTAATTTTATTTGTTAATACTTATGATTATATATTTTGTTACTATTTACATAAAAACATGTTATATTATTGTAAACATATTAGTCATTTGGATTTGCTCACGACTGTAGCTTACGTTGAGAGAAAAATTATATTCAAATCATCAAATATTTTTTTGATGGGTGTTATTAACATATTAACTTAAATCTAGATTCTCTTTATTTAAATCAAATATTACCTACTTTAAATAAACAATATTTGGTTTAAATAAAGAGAATGTAAATTTAAGTAAGTATGTTAATGGCACCTATCAAGGAGATATTTGTTGCTTTTAATATAATTTTCTCTCAATGTATTTCATTTTGTAACCTGTAATAAAAGTCAACAAATGATATCTTACATGTAAGGGCAATTGTATAACGTTGCATAATGCGTCCATAACTTTCTATGATAGCGATCTCATTGTCATCTTTTAGCTCGTTACACATATACATCAGATAGTCCAATGACCATTTCACCTGTCATGTCATAAATTCTAATACAACACTCTCAAAAACGTAAGAAGTCTTCGAGGCATGCGTGTTATGTGAGAATTCACAACGTTTTCATAAGCTTATAATAATGATATTTATACATAGATATTTACATATAACGTGATTGAAATATAATATTATTTATAAATAGAGTCCCACACGTAGAATATTGCAAAAAATAAAATTATACGGAAAATTAGAAAGTAGCAATTAGAATAATACTTGAAGAATTTGGATACGAGAATACAAACACGCACATGACTATGCAATATAGCTTCGCGACTTCGTTATATATAAAAACACATGAAAACGCAGCTTACAGTGTTCATGTTGGTCCAAAACGACATATATTGTATTCCGCCTATAATATGAAATAATGCAAGAGAGAAAACGTTAACCATAAAATTAAATGTCAACTTTTCAGTCACAAGGATTCGAAGCTGCAAACAATAACTTTATTAAAAGTTAATAAGCAACAAATATTTCATCAGTTACAATGTTATATTAACAGAAATATCAGACGGTTACACTTAAAGTTATGCTAAAGATACGCTTAAATTACGAAACTTGATTGAAGAAAAATAATTGCGCACGAAGAAAACACTAAAGATGGCCGTTATAAAATATTAATGTTATTTTTCGCACATACATATAAGATGGTTGTAGCAAACATAGTGCTTTGTAACTGATACGTTAGTTTTCTTTACTGTCTGTTTGAGCAGTACTCTCACTGCTGTTTAACATAACCAAATTCTACAGATATTTCAACCATAGTATTCGTTCTGCAAACCACAACAAAGAGATAGCAATATTCTTCCGGTTCGAAACAGTTATACATGAGAATATACTAACTGAGCATTACGTATCACAAGAACTATGGTTGCGAGAACTATATAGATGGGCATATAACAACAGCAACTTTTGTTGCAATATCTATTTAATTTGAAAGTACATAAATTTTCTCCCTAATTATAGAATGTGTGTGTAGCAATCATAGCAGTTTTCTCCGTGCTTCAAAATTAAATTTCATTTCTTAATATTCAAACATTTGTAATTAAACAAGCATTATCTGGATTAACATATTGCATGTAACATACTTGCATTCTTTTGTTTTTCTTGCTGTAGTAAATTAATTGTGCGTTAACATATAAGACATAATCAATATATTAATACAAATAAAAAGATGGACTCACTTGATATAGAATGCCGTACGTAAAGATACCAAACAGTATAAATACTTGAAGTCGAGCATATTTCGGTTGCTGGTACGGCCACAAGCCAACTAAGAGCAGTAAGATTCGATTCAGTTTGAAATATCGCGCCTCATAGGAGATCATGTTTCCGCGGAGAACGAAATGCATCTGATTGCAAAAACGCCATCGGAACACATTCCCTCCTTGCAACCAGTCATTTCAGTAATTTGCTTTTCTTTACCTTAATTTGTTTCTATTCTATCCTAAACTCTACTACAAATTGCCTAATTTTACTTAAATGTAAAGTAAGGTGGTGCGAAATTGTTGTGAGTTCGGAACACTCGCGATTCTTACTACCTCGTACGGAAATGGGTAGGTAAACGGACGATCGATTTGAGACCGTACGAAATTCAACGAATGTTTATTTCCCACAGACTAACGCATGTGTAATAACATGTCGATCGAAGTACGCGCAAGCGTAGTCGTTTTTTCTTGACACCGCAGTTTCCCATTCTTCATTCGAGCTTATGCAACCGTACGATGACTTTGAACTTTGAAAACTATATAAGTTGTCCCATTACATGTGTGTCGAAGTGTTAGTTATAACATTAGTATCTGTGAAGTATAAAGTACTGTAACTCTCTTGTGATATTGAGCTTCCGGTAGAGTATCGAAGTGTGCTTATAGACTTTGCGTTCGTGCAAAGTAAATATTTACAAACATATTACATAGTAATCGTCTATCGTATGTGCTGTGATATGCCAATTCGCTACAGATGAAAATATTCTACAAGTTGATCAGATGCATTCTACGGATTAATGCTTACAGCTACGGTAAACCGTCTATTGCTGTTGACATTATCAAACGGCAGTTGTTGGTATGTGTTCGATTTAATACAATAATTAACTACTGGTGAGCAAGAATATTTTACTTTCTTTTTTTATTTTTGTACCATTTGACAATAAATCTTAACCTCCTGAGTGTATTGAATACACAATAGTAAAGTAAGACATCGACGTACTTATTAACTACAATAAGAAACATCTTTGTTTATATATTTTTATTTAAAATATATTATTTTGAATATTTAATCAAACTTTTTTTCAATAGTAAAACACTCTAAGGATGTTGAGAACAATCCATCGGTATACAAAATAAAAGTTTCGTTATCCCTTTGCAGTAGCAATATTATTAATTTTTGTATATGTAGCTGTGTTACATACCATCGAATGTTATACATATAAATTAATGATATCTGGCTTTGAAAACCAAATAAATATCTTAGAGTGCGAGATAGCACAACTAAAAAACGCTCTGTATGATTAGAATCTGGAATTTTGTCAAACGATTCATTCGGTTACTGGTAATATCAGATAAAACATAATCAAATTTGTATTTTTAATTTGCCAAAAGGATAAATACAAAGCTAAAAATAATATAATATATAACAAAAATAATATAGTAAATAACTCATAGTAAATAACTCATAGTAAATAACTCATAGTAAATAACTCGTCATATGTATTATAATCTCAGATCTCAGTTTAACCATTGCAAAACTAACGGTTCCGATACAACCATACAGACTATTATGTTTGAGTCAGTTTGGAACGTAACCACGTGCTAAAACAGGTAGGCAAATAGGCGATCAATATAACACCCTACGAAATTCTCTCTCAATAGACATTTATTTCTCATAAAATAACACGTTTGTTATAACGCCTCGATCGAAACACGCGCAAGCGTAGTCGTACGCTTTTCACGTCGTACTTTGTTGATTTCATTTTAGTTTGTGCACTCGTACGATGTGTTTGTATTTTAAAAACGAATTGAATTGTACAGTCTCTCTCACATATGTTAACATGCTAATTAGAAAATTGTTTCTACGACTGCTGCAGCTTGTGTGAGCATGTGAATAAATTTTCCGGTAGCATCAATGGATACTCATAAATTTCGCGTTCGTGCATCACAACATAAGCACAAATATCTACAAACAAAATTATCAATTTTATATTGATATATCATAAGGAATGTCATCGATCGCTAAAGATAAAAGTAGTTTTGTAATAAACGCACTAGATACAACGATATCAAGTATAATCTATTGTATAATTTCCGTCTCGTCTATAGTTATCGTTATTGACATCATTAGAAATTCTGCTATTCCTTCAATTTATCGAAGAATATAACACGCAAAACAAGAAGTGAAAAAGCATTTATTATTTACAGTCAAATATACAATCAAATATTTTAATATCGCCCCTTTCAACCCTATTTCCAAGTGAACTAAATGTGATAAATGTTGTTTCTTTTTTATTTTATCATTAAATAATATAATGATTAACTCTATGTAGTTATTGCTGGTATAACCTGAAATATATGAATCTTAAATATTGCAAAGCGGTTTTTATTTGAAAACGCATGACACAACAACAGTAACAAATACGTTAATAAAGTTAATAAACTTAGATCTTGAGGTTTACCAGAGTTAAATAATTTAAGGCTTCATTTCAATATCCAAGATATTCTAATTACGCAATCATCTATGAATTATTTACCTTTTATAATAATTAATTGCTAAAAAAATTGAACATATTTGCTATTTCTTTCTACAGTTTATGTACTCTTCAATTGTAAATCTTACCACGTAAATCTTAATTACGTGATGAAATCTTCATATAATCACGTAAATCCTAATTATGTTTTTGCACAGAATATATTATGGTAAAGAAAGACATCGACGCACTTGCCAACTAGAATAAAAACGACGTTTTTTGCATATTTTCTATTTAAAGTATGTCATCTTGAGTATATTATGATTTAACTTGATATTTTTTATCGTGGCAAAACTTTTTAAAGATGCTGAAAATTTATCAATATATAAATGAAAATTTGTGTTACCCCTCTGTAGCAGCAGTATTATTAATTTCTGTATAGATAGACGTGTCTCATACCATAGAACATTATATCTGCAAGTAAAAATAGTCACTTTTGAAAAATAAGTTATTATTGAGTTTGTGCGTTTGTATTCAAAATAATTAATTGTGTTATATTGGAAAGCGTCTTACGCGGTGAAAAATATATTGTTATAGTGATCAGTAACTATTTGTCTGACGTAGTTTGATAAGAACGTATATATAATAATTAGATATATTATTTGCAATGTGTCGTTATCATTGTTTCCAAACGACATAATGTGAAAAATTTAAGAGAATATAATTAATATAAATTTAACACAAATCTCAGAATCAACCCTAATTTTACGTAGAAAGGAGTTACATTGCTACAAATTAACAACACATAAAAAGAATATAAAAAAAAATAATTATTATTCTCGTACACACACGCACACAATATAGGCACACACACACACATACACACACACATACACACACACACACATTCAGACACACATACAAAATCTCGTTTTGAAAATTATTTTAGAACTTTAATGACAAAATCGTGAGTACACTTCGTAGTCAGAAATGCCGTAAACTGCAACCAGTAAATTAATTGAAAAATTTATATTTCAAAAACATTATTCGTTTATTTTATTTGATTTTTTTTTGTTACTGTTTTTAATACCTTCGTACGTTAATATGATTGAAAAGATTAATATATCTGAAATATATCTGAATATATAGCTCATAGATTAATATATCTGAATATATAGCTCATGAAAATTCCAGAAACCAAAATTATCTGAAATCGAACGAATTTCAATTGTCGATAAGATCATAAACCGATTATAAGTAAGAAGACGCGAATATATCTGAAATATCGAGTCTTGTTGCAGGTCATGTTTCCGGGGATACAGAGACGCGTTTGATTCCGGAAGTGTGAGCAAAGTTCTACTCATCCTTCTTTCTAATTCTCCGTGCATCCAAAAATTATACCATAGAAAATTATTCTTCTCTAACTTAAAGTCGATCGTAAATTGTGGAATTTACCATAAACGTAGTATAGATAAACTCAAAATGTAAACGTAAGAACGAAACACTTGCGGCTATACATTGTAGTATATAATAAAATTTATAAAGGAAAATAGGATTAGACAAAGTAGACAATCGATTTAACGCCATAAAAAATTCATCGTTTCAAGATTTATTTCCTATAGAATGACACATGTATGATAACTTGTTGGTCGAGATACGCGCAAGTTTAGTTGCTCTCCCCCACTCTCAGCACTCGGTACCTCCGTTTCATTTTGGTTCGCGCACTCGTACGATATGTTTGGTCTCTGGGAGCGACAACCACACATACCGACGTGTCAGCTGCAAAATAATAATTGGTAGAGTATGAAGTACAGTAAACTTTTGCATGATGTTTGCGACGGTGTCTAATATGTATTCACAAGCTTTTTGTTGTAGTATCATATTGAAGACATAAATGCCAACAATTTTATATACTTGTAATATTTTATACAGTTACCTATATATATTATTATATCGTATGCCGTAAGCTGTGTTATTTGTAATAAAAAGCTTTCTAATGAATCTAATCTAACGAGTCTCCTTGCTTCTACGATGTTAAGGACCAATTATGTCAAAGGTCAGTGATACTCTATACAAAAAATTAAATAATCGTGAATTTCCGGCTGACACCTTGTAAATGATGAAATGACTGAAGAATAAGATAAACCATGATAATAAATAATTATTTAAGCTTTTACTTACAACTACTTACGCCAGTAACTACTTTAGTCTTTACTTTTTAAACTTTAATCTTTTACTTTGATCTTACTTCTCTTTTCTATTTTCTGCTATTATTTAAATCTTAATCCCGTTGCTGCATAGAATACATAACAGTAAAGTAAGACATCGACGCACTCGACAACTGAAATAAGTCAACTTCGTTTATGTATATTTACTTAAAATATGCCATCTTATAAATATAATAAGATGCCTGATTTTTTTTACCCTAGCAAAACATTCTAAAGATGCTGAAAACAATCTACCGATATTCAAGGTGAAATTTTTGTTACCCCTTTGTAATAGCAGCACTATCAGTCTCTGTATAGATAAGGGCGTCATATACCATCGAACATTGTACCTAAAGAGAAATATATTCGTTTTTGAAAAATTAAATTATTTTTGCGTGTGTTCGTCTTATTTCAAAACAATTCATTGTAAGCATCGTGTCAAAAAGTGTCTTACGCGTTGAAAAATATATTGTTGTAGTGATCCGTGACTTGTTGTCCGATATAATTTGATAAAAACATATACAAAATACTGGTTTTTACATATGTTATATGTATTAATAATTCCCTAATATCTTCTCTAAACGATATAATCTGCAAAAGCTAGAAGAAAACTAGATTCATAACATGATTGAAATAAATCTCGCATACCTCTATTTCAGAATCACCTATTAATAATTTTACATATTTTGTCATTTTGTAAAACGGAGTTATATTACAACAAAATAGAAATGCAAAAGAGTAATTACATAATGCACATATACATATTATACCCAAGCAGG